TTTGATCTCTTTCTCCTTGATTTCTTTCTCGTTGGTCGGCGAGTTGATTTCCCGACTATTGCCTTAGGCCTTATGAAACTCATTCAGTCCTCACGTATATCCAAGGCACTTCCATGTGGCATGCTACTCACTAAGATTTTTCGCAACTTTGATGTTCCCCTTCACGACGAAGCATCTATTAAACCATGACCCTCCGACACCATTAGTTCCAACAAACTTAAGCGAGTGAAAATTGTTAAGAAGAATGGACAATGGGTGTCTGAAACTAAGGGATTCGATCCGGCTTTGGGGCCTTCTACCTTACCTTTTGAAGATGAGAACACTGACGACGACACGATGAGGATGCGACTCCTACTAGTACTTCATAATCGAGGGCTTCCCGACCCGCTGGACAAGGACATAATGAGGAGCAGCTCACACTCTTACATGGGCGGATGGATTCTCTAGCCATGACCGTTGATGGGGTTTTCGAGGAGCTTCATCACATACGGGCACAGCAAGACACGATCCTAGCTCAGCAGGCTACTGTATAGGATCAGATGACTACGTTCTTTGCCAATATGCGTGCTCAATTTCCGCATCTTCCTCCTCCGGCACCGTAGTTGTTTATCATTATCTTAAACCTATTGTTAAAACTATGGTTGACCTTTTGATTACGTATTAAACTTTGTCATGCTTCTGCATTGCTTATCCGTTTATGTTTGTTCTTATTGCATATTTCTACCTAATTGCGTACTTTTTGCTTATGCCAAAAGGGAGAAAAGATAGACATGAATTGCATGATTATACTAAATAGGAGGAATAGTAGTGAAATCAATAGGGTGAATACTTATATGCAAATTTGGTTTCTATTCCTAATCAATTTGTTCATACATATATCTTGCAAATCATGATATGTTCGTGATAATCAAAAAGGGGAAAATTATTGACCTATGGTTGACTTTTCATTTTGATTGTCACAAACAAATTTTGTTTATCACTAACAAATTGATTTTTCAAGTGTCCATAGCAATCAATTTCACATATTTTGATGGCACAAAGTTCGATGTCAAGATATTTGCACACAATGACCAAACGTGGTAACACGATCAAACAATCAAGGCCATAAAGAATGATGTTGCAAAACCCGCAAAAGTTGCTCCACAAAAATCGAGACACAAGTTGAAGTACCAACAAGCAATGTATGTCAAACTGTTCAATCTAAGAACTTAGACATTTTACGACCATATGTAAAGGTAAAACACAATAACACTTGGTAATGCATCGTGATAAGTTCAAAGTTTTGATTTTTACAAAATTTACGACAAGAAATGTTTTGCTCAAAAATTATGTTTTTCAAAAGTAAAAATCGTAACACGTATTTTTAAATATGACAAAAACTTTGAAAAAATTCCTAAACGTCCCTCCAACACTTACATTTGACAAGAATTAAAAACGGAGGCGTTTAAGGCAGTTTTGATTTTTTAAATATGACAAAAACTTTGAAAAACATTCTAAACGTCCCTCCAACACTTGCATTTGACAAGAATTAAAAACGGAGGCATTTAAGGCAGTTTTGACTGTACCGGACGTCCAGTACACATACCCGACGTCCGGTAAAATCAAAATTGCCCCAACGGCTATTTTTTTCAACGGTCCAAACTTCTGACAAAAAATAACGGCTAGTTGACCAACCTGGATTTTACCGGACGTCCGGATGTGCGTCCAGTTAGACAGATTTTTGAACGTTTAAGTGTTGTAAATACCTCACTATTTCTCCGCTTCAAAACATAATTCTTGATCATTAAAGTGAGGCTTCTATTGATTACAACTATTCTATTTTTCCATCTTTAAGAAGATCTATAGCACCAAACTCTTGAAAAACTTTTGAGTGATTTTACTTTGTGAAAATCTTTTTTTGTTCAAAAAGTTTTTCATTTCAACACTTTGAGCTAAACGCATTACCATCTATTAAAGTGTTTGCCTCATCTCTTCTTGGTATCTACATTGATTATATCACTTGATAAGAAGAGAATATTTCACTTGTAAACTCATTTCGAATTGT